TAGATGTTTTCAACCCAGCAACTTGATAATTGTTGAACGACTCCTGCACTGTCTCTTTGAGATCTGAGACCGACTTGTCATTCTCCTCAGCGGCCTCCATATTCAATCCATGCGCTGCATCCCAACGGATCGATGGGATTTTTTCATGCCGCGATGCCGTTGTGCCGTTCTCTGATTGAAAGGTTCAGCCGTTCATAAACTTCACAGGATTTCAATCAGATTTCATAGGTTTATCATGGGTTTATAATATTTTATAATGTCTTATCAGCTTTTGGTTTTGACATGTTTTGACCTTTAACTCCGTATCCCAAAGATCATCCTAGACATCTTAGATATCTTGGATATCTTTGTGAATTTTCCGATAGAAACAATGACCAAACTGCCAGAGTGCTGATGCCTTCAAACTGGGTGTTTTTTTAGTCGGCTTCCTTGGTCCCTTTTGTCCCTTTTGGCTTTCAGCTGACTCGGGGATGTCGTTTGTCAAAAAACACAACGTGCGTGCCCAACTGAGGCTGGACCTTGAGCCGATAGTTCTTCAGAATTCCATGAGAAAAAAACATGTCGCCATGATGATGACTTCATTGTCGGATTTGCTGGGCTTCATTCCATGATTTGCTGATCTTTGAATACCTGAAAAACCCAGATCATGGGCTGATTGCAGTTGAACTTGCCATGGTATGCACTGAATTCTCGCGTGATCGCTAGGTAAAAAGGCCTTAAAAGTGAAGCTTCGGTGGGAGCCGCAATCAAGAGAGAGTTGTTCCTACAAAAGTATCCTTACATGAACAGAAGTATCTACATGTATCGTCAGAACATGATTCTAGATTGCTAGCCTCCTCAGATGCTGTACGATGAGAGTCGATGAGTTTCCTCTGGAATCGTGTTCAAGCGCAATAAAACTGTTTCCCTCCGGTAGTTTTGCTACCACACTGCTCAAGCACTGGATAGTATGTTATTGAGTGGCGGCAAATCTGTGGATACAACAGGACAGGCATTTGCGTATAATCGTAGATTTGTATATAATGCACACCCACTTCATCACATGTAATTTTACATAATTGTATATATACACATAATATGCAGTGATAAACAAACTGATGATGACAAACAAAATAAGAATCAATAATAGCAATGACCACAATGATAAAACCAACTTGACACACACACACAGAGAGAAAGGAAACAATAACAATATACCCAGGCAGCAACTTCTTTCTCCAGCAGTGTCGGGGTTCCCGCAAGATCGAATCGACATCTTTGGTCGTTGCCACGGTCTTCATGGCTCTGCGGCCAGGGTTTGTTGTCACCTTCGAGAAGGCCAGGGTAAAAAACTGCCTTTGTTTAAACATGAAGCCAAATAATCCAAATAGCAAAACAAGTCAGTCTGGGAATAGATACGATAAGAATATGATACGTATTATTTGGGAATATGTGGGATATGTTTAGACGGTTCAACCTCCCACTGTTCATATTTGTCGCTTTTTGTCGGTCAAATGCTCCAAAATTGGGATCATTTGGGTTCGAGGAAACGTGCATTTGAGAATCATTGGTTTCTCCTTCACGGGGGGCCGCAGATGTGCCGTGGAGGTAGCTAACTGGTTAGTAGCCCCCTATACCTCGGTATAGAATAAAACAACCTACCATAACCTACCTACATACTGACCAGCCACCTAGCTCAGTGGGCAAGATGTCAGAACGAACTCTTCCATCACTGTGATATTTGGGATTTGGGTATGGATCAATACCTATTAATACCATTTTTAGGGGGATGAACATCCATTTACCAGCTATTTTGAGGTTCACCAGGGGTACAAGGTTTTGACACACTGCCATTTGGGTCTGTCTGAAAATTTCGGGGAACCGCCCTAGATCCTCTGGTTTATCATTCATTGATTCTCCTGGTAGAATCAGGAGATTTTTTTGGGTATCCATGGGTATCCACCATTTGCGAACGCACCCAAATCATCATACCCATAGGATCCATGTATGGCATATATGCTAACATTTGGGGTATATTGATGGTAAATGTCACCATATATAGCATACATGGATCCTATGGGATAGTAAGTTGGTTAATATCTCATTCTATCCCCATTAAATACACATTTGCAGACACACCCATTTCCTGAGAGTAACTCCGTACCCCCAGAAAGCTCAATGGCCATCTGCATCAGCTCACCCATGGTTATCACCCCTGGGAATTCGCCGAGAATTGTGGATGTGACATGTAAACAACTCTAAATAACTATAACATTAAACAACGCCCATCTACATGGAATTCTACAAGTACCTTTTGTTTAATCACATTTTATCTGGTTGGTGGTTTGAACCCTTCTGAAAAATATTAGTCAGTTGGGATTGTTATTCCCAATATATGGAAAAATAAAAAATGTTCCAAAACACCAACCAGTTATTGTAGGTCTTGACCTATCCCGAGCCGTAGCGATTGCGCAGCGCCTCAGGACTCCTGGCACTACACAACGCGTCGCTGCGTCAAAGGGGCACGGACATGCTCAGCTGGCAACATCTTCCCAACACAGTGAATATTGATATACCATAGATAATCATAGATATAAGAAATTGTAGATATAACCATAGATATACCATAGATATAACCATAGATATACCATAGATATACCATAGATATACCATTAGTAAACCCACATCCAATATAATCAACATTGATCCGCTGATCCACAAATTGTCACAATGCACGGTCTCGAGGTGAAGACAGCGGCATGGTCATTCCAGAATTTCTTCCAGACCTTTTCCCCAGGTTCATTTAGAAACCAAAATATACATGCCAGGTTTCAGGTTTTCTGGAGATTTTCAGACAATTCTCCAGGTTTTTTGGATATGTCCAAAATATAAAATCAACTTTCGATTCTTGGAGATATCCAATTTTCACACAAACTATGAGGACTATGAGGTTATGATCAAACATATAAAATAGGATTTTCTATGATTTTCTCTAAACTTGGATAGAAGATGATAGAAGCTGTGGATACCCTAAATCCACTCATACAGCCAATTCTTTAGGGCATCCAATTCTGAACCACCAAAGGTTCCGGTCCCAACCTCTTCCAGATCACCCTGAACTTGCGCCAGCATGCCCTGCAAGTGGTGCGGACATCATGGCCACGAGATGCTAGAAGTCACACACAAATTGGAATTTAATCAATTCTAATTGCCGGATTTACTTGAATTGTGGCTTTAACAAGTCTATCACCCAATGGTTTTTGGATGCTTAAGAAGCAAAAATATATCAGACATTGGTCACCAACGGTCACCCCAACGAAACATCGGCAAATCCTGGGATGACTCGGTGACGCCCTGAACCATGCTGAAACCCCCATGACTTGGTCGGGCCGAAAAGTCCCACCTGGATCTTGAGCATTGCAGGAATGAAGTCAGCCTCAGGAAAGCGCTAGCAGCCTCCGAGGGCATGGAAACTCCACAACGGGGTTGGCTAAGCAGCACGGATTCATATTTATATACTATGATTTATTTTTGAAAGCAGATTTTACTTTGGCATGGACATTTACTTGGTTTCGTCTACATCCAATTACTAGCAGCATGTACAACATATACTGTCAATTGCCACATCTGAGTAAAGTTACAAGAGGTACGTGCATCCGATCAAATTGTCCATTTGCCATTCATGACTTAAATCAAAACTCCATATGGAAATGGGTCAAAACCCAGATGCCCTGCAGTTCACATGTTAGAAATAGACAGAATGGTCCCGGTGTGAATACCACCATTTCGGTCGGTTGCTGAGTATAGCCTAGCTGACAAGTCTGAACCAGTTGAAACAATTTTGGAACCAAGTCCTCTATAATTCCTCATACAGATTTGTCTAAAAACAGGGTACCATGTATTATCCACTGGCTAATTACAATTTTCTGTATCAAACTGCCACAACCAGGGTGTATACACCTTTGCAGACGCACCCATATGATTCCATATGTCAATATTATGTCAAATGTCACATTAGTCGGTGGATGCTGGTGCTATATCGCACCATACGTTAGACATATTTCAAGCCTCCAAAAAGTTCGGCCGTTTAGGGATGTTTCCCTTACAGACCATCATCCGCATGTACATATGTTATATATATATGAATATATTACATCTATGTCAGCCAACATAGATATGGAATATCCACCATTTTTCTGGATCAGTGATTAATTACAATATTTCACTAAACTGAAACAAGGCTTTGGGATAGTTGCATCTACAATTTCCATCATTCCAGTGACGGATGGATGAGTCCCTGGGGATACCAGGCTTCTTTTCCATAGCCATTAAAAATAGCCTTATGCCAGCTCATCATACGCTGGTTGATAGCTTTCCCTACAAATCCCCACCCTGGTATTATAGCTCACTCTAATAATAACCCATCAACCAGTGTATCTTTCATCGTTCATATCTTGGTTTACCCCCTTGCATGATGCCCAGGCACGAAGGCTATCCGTCGGAAGCGGCTAAGTTCCTGAGGAGAGGCGACGCTCTCTGGAGAGCAGATTATATAGGTATAAGTGTGTATGTGTGCATATATACTGTATATACTGTAAATATACATATATATATAATTACACATAATATAGACAAGTATAGACATTCACATCTCAGAACATATATTTATATAGTATGATACAGGTTTAGATATCTATCTTTTCATATACATATACTTATAACTTTATACAATTATATATAATGTATACATGTAGGTATGCAGTTCCGCTTTGAGTCGCTTGTCAATAGCAATACATTACCCGGATAAAAGCAACATATTGAGATCATTGTCCACGAACCTGCAGTGGGGAAGTGATTGTTGCGAAATGTTGCTGGCAAATGCATAGATACAGAATGGCTCGCTGGGCAACAAATCGGGAAGAGATGCATCACATTTTTATGGTAGAGATAGGGGTTTCCTACAATGGGGATACCCCAAGTCACCAAAAAAATACCAAAAATTGTCTAATGACTTGGATAACTGGGGGTAGCCCCATGACTTAGGAAAACCTCCCTTTTTTGTCATCGTCCCGATGCGCGATGCGCGGAGGATTTCTTCCCAGTTTCCATGTTGGCTCCCAACTGCAGATTCAGCAGAAGTGCCAGCTCCTGTGGAAAAGCATGAAGAAATGGACATCGCAAGCACCAAAAAGTGACTGGTTGGTGGTTGAGCCCTACCCCTCTGAAAAATGATGGAGTTCGTCAGTTGGGATGATTATTCCATAGATGGAAAAATAAAAGCCATGTTCCAAACCACCAACCAGGTGATCTACCATTCTTTGGAAGTGGTTGCTGGTGGAATGAAGTCTGAGATGCGAACATGATTTGTTTTTTGAGATCAATATAGTTCCCAAAGTCATTGGAAGTTGAAGGTAGCAGATGATCTCACCAAACAATCACAGAAACCATATCAATCATTAGAATCGTTGGATTTTATAATCTATATCAATCATTAGATTATATAATATTATATATATATAATATCATGAATCTTCATCTTCACCTTAAGATCCCTAACAGGCTCTTTGCGCTTCGGGTCGCCTTTAAAATAACGGGTCGCCCTGGCCGGTCCATCCCGCGCCTTATCCGAGGGATTTCGGATGCCCACCTTCGCCAGGATGGCCAAGACGTCCTGAGCTCGTCACGGTCATCTACCCGGCCTGGTAGTTTAACCATAGGAAAACCATAGGAAAATGGTGGTTTAATGGGATTTAATGGGATTTAATGGGATTTAATGGGGTATACCCTCTGGTTATGACTAACAAAAAGCTATTGAAAATGGGCATTTATAGTTGATTTACCCATTAAACATGGTGATTGTCCACAGTTATGTTAGTTTACCAGAGGGTATAGGCTATTATATCTAGCATAGAAACCCATGTAACCCCCATGTAGACCCCATGAGTACATATGATTTCGACAGGTATATCTACACATTCATATAGAACTCACCCAGTGAAGTAAACCGTACTATATAATAGACGAACTGTCCACCTTGTATACCTATACCATCTATGATGACATTTTAGTGAGGGATTACTATACTGTAGTAGCTTTTCGGAGAGTACGCAGTAAATGGGGGTAAAGAACCAACAGTTCTACTGAAATTTCTCATGGGAATATAATGGGACGTACAACCAAGATTACAAAAGAATACAAACAATACATAACAATACCTATTCTAGTAAACCTATACCCATCATTAACCATCATTAACCATCATTAACCATCATTAACCATCATTAACCATCATTAACCATCATTAACCATCATTAACCATCATTCTAGGAGGAGCCAAATACCCAAACCATCCATGGTTCTGCAACTGGGGACTTGCCCCAAACCATTCCCCTGATGCAAAACTTAAATCATGTTATGGGGACTTTTTATCGGAACATCATATGGGACACTTCAAAAAAGTCGTGCTATACAACAACCATTTTCTGAGGGGGAGTCATGGGGAGTCATGGCGGGTTATGGAAATAATGTATAGTTATGTTATATCATATATATATATAATACACATGTATATATACATTAACGGGATGTACAATTTCAAAAGTCAGGTGTTTTTTGTTCAAACATATGGATCTGATATGTTGTTTGTGAAGGACACTTTGTATGGGGACTATAGAAACTATACTAGGGATGCAACCCATGTAATGGAAATAAACATCCATGATATAATGTGGATTAGACAGGTGGGTATATCATGTTACAACATAGGTTTGTGCTCCACCCATCCACAAAATAGTTGTACATGAGTGATGTTAATGGTTGAAGGTTCATAAACAATCGGGAAATTACCATCAAACACCGGGATAGTGATAATGATGAGCTTATCATGATGACGATAACGATGAGGACAGGGACAACATGAAGGAGGCTGAATCTTGTAGTGATGCTGGGAGCCCTCTTACTTGGGATTGTTGCTGGTTCCGGTGTGCTTTTTTGATAACATCTCCCACCTTGTGTCCAAACTTTGAAAACTCTTATGTCCCACATGTACAACTCTCTAGGTCCGAAGAAACATGGCAAATTTTGGATACTCTGAGATACCCTGCAAAAAACTCAGTTGTTAGCTCTTTCGCTGGTGCATTTAGTTTATAGCACAGTTTTTTCACATCCATTGACCAACCAATCTACTCCACTTTTACCCAGTCCCATGGGAAATCAGCTCCTTCACAATCATCTGCTCTTGACTTCGGCTCTGATTATACACCTGAGACCGAAGTGAGACCCCGGCAAACATCGCGACGGCGCAGTATCGCGAGCTATGTGATATTTGTTTGGGACATCGGGACAGAGTAGGTATACATATACATATATACATATATACATATATACATATATACATATATACATATATACATATATACATATATACATATATATATATATGTTATATCAAGATTTTATATCAGGATTTATATCAAGATTTAAGAATCATAGATCTCCAATACTCATGTTGACCTATGAATATGAGAAAAGAAACTGGCTGACCCAGGCTGACTCTCCGGCAAAAAGAACATGGCCATGAAAACCTGTTCAAGCGGTATAGATAGGCACTATGGTCTTCATGTGGGGCGAATTTCCTTTCCTTCTGTTCTTTCACCAGTTGTTGGCCCCTTCTTTCCATGGCCAACCTTACTGTGCTTCAATGATCGTTCTTAGCTAGGTATCAAATATGCTCCCACTTACAGCTGCACATTCCGAAACCCATACCTACTTCCTGAGGCAAACAGTACAGTATGCTGGAACATATCCTACATATACATATATATATATGATATAATTATATATATACACACGTATACATTATGCTATCACATGCTATCACGATCCACATTTCAACTAACAATCTCAATTTGCAACATCAATTATATATATATATTATTTTATATTATATCAATTTACATAATTTTAAAAATTGGACGATCAAATCAAACCACAAATCAACCCATAAATTGCCATAAATGAAGGTTTCCTAATGTTTCCCAAAGTGGGGGGTACCCCCAAATCATCATTTGTTTTTTGGATTTTCCATTCTAAACGATCCAACTATTGGAGTACCATGCCTTGCGGAACTCGCGGATGACGGCCAACTCGCAAGAGTTCTGATCTGCCAAGGCCTTGGGGAAACTCCACATGGGAGCTTTATGTGAAAAGGACTAAGATTTTGCGTATAAAACTTGTATGTAACTTGCGATGTCAAAGAAATACACTTACGATACTTCGTTTTAGACCTATTCAGGATTATTCAGGAAACACTATGATATTTCTGAGTCGGTTTGGTACCATGCCCATCAGTTGCGGTTTGGTGCCCTTTCTTTCTTTTCATCAACCGATGGGAAAAGGTCTGGAATTCGTCACTTTGTGTTACTACGGCATTGTGCATTGTGCATTGTGCCTAGTCCGTGGACCAACAACATGGTCTCTGAGCCATTGTTTATACATAGCACTGGTAAATGTCATTCTTGATTCATCAAATATGCAGTTCAATACTTTGATTCATTCACTTGTCAACACACACACATAAACAACTTCGGATTGTGACATGATAATGTCATTGAGGCAAACTCTTCACTGATTCATGTCGCGACTGATTTTATTCAGGTGTCCCCTTTACCCCTGTAAGATCTACTGAGTCTACTGTTGAATTTTCTGTGATTTCACCCCAAATTTAACACAGTGGAAATTGCACATTTATGGATGATTAACCTATAAATTATCCTACAGATGATTAACCTGTAAACATATTTAACATTTATAGATGATTTACATCAATAGCAAACTGTTGTAAATTATCACACGGTCTCTTGAAACACAATTAAGCAATGTTCAAAGCCCTCCGTCATTCCAGTATACCGGCTGGTTAAGAACGGGATTCCCAGTGAAAAATTGACTACGACAACCCCCAATATGGGTAATATAATCCCCGAACTAATCATAAACCATGAGTTGTGTCTCCATAATCCCCATAAAATCCCATTATACACCCTGGTTGGTGTTTTCAACACCTCTGAAAAATATGAAAGTCAGTTGGGATTATTATATCCCCAATATATGGGAAAAAAACATGTTTGAAACCACCAACCAGAACCCCATTTATATGCCAAAAACGAGGCTATTTGGTCCTCGACTCGCCCGCCTGGTCCACCTCCATTTGCTCTTCTCGCGCAATCCTTGGCTGAAAAGCGGTCTGCGGCCTGGGGCATCCTTTGTACGACCTCGAACTTGGAAATCAAACATCTCTCTCTGCAAACGATTGAGGTATAAGGGATTTGGATGATTTGGCATTGGATCGCCACCGATAAACCATCTTCGTCACGGTATTTGTTCAATGAACAATCGACGGACGCAATGTTCATCCGATCTTGATCCATACGCAAATTTGGGTAGGCACGTTGTTCCAACCAATGATGCTGTTTCAAGAACAATATGGCGGGTCAGTTTGGTCCCATCTCATTTCCCATCATTTACCCAGATTTTTGAGGCAAAGGGGAGGAACCCATATTTTTTTCTCAATCAATATATGGCAATATATAACATGCAATAACTTCGCGTTTAGTTATGATAATTCACGGACTTGAAATAGACCCCATTTCGGGATGGCCTTCCGTACGAATGATCCCTGGATGAAAACGTCTTTCAACCCCTTGTAGAGAAGTGTTTGACACCTGGGATCAAAATCTCATTTTGGGGGATGGAAGGTACAATAGGACACCGACAATGTCACGCCCAAGTCATGCCTAGCGTGTTTTTATGTGTTTTTGAATGGCAGCTACCATTGTAAACGCGGTATCCAAAAAGTATCAAAAGTCATGCCCAAGTCATGCCTTAATGCTTTTCTGCAATAAACGTGTAACCGTTAGCATTTTTTAAACGTTAAAACCAAGTGAAACGCCAAGGAATGGATCGCAGTGGTGTGGCCCCTGACGATGCCAAAACGATGTCTAGACGCCCGAAAATGGGCCCACAGGGGAAAGCCCTTCTGAACCCTCAAAATCAGTGAAAGGATTGCAGTCATGTGATCAGTGGCTTGGGCTTATGAATAGCATTGAATAGCATTGAATAGCTACAGTCAACCTCGCGCGCAGCTCTATATCAAATATAGTGTCGCTAGGTTCCAAGATGTTCCAAACCCCACTATAAACATGCTGCCAAAAGCGTGGTTTGGGACGGATCTGTGTCATGTTTGTGCTGTACTTCAGCGGCAGCTTCTAGTGGAGGTGAGCCTCGCCGTCTTACAATTGACTCAACATACCGCAAACATCCGCAAACAAGTAAATCTGCATGGTAATAGTGTTGAGTACAGTATCTCATAAGAAGAGTTACAAATAACCAGACTCCAGAGTTCCCATCATCGCAGCTTAGGGGGAAAGAAACAAGATTGAAGCAGCAACCAACGACATTTTTTCAGTCATACCCCGGTGGTATCCCATGATGATCCCCAGATTTCTATACATTTATTGAAATTTGGACATTTTGTTGGTGAAAATCCGGTTCAAACCACCAAGCAATGCTTGGCCATTCGGAGATTTTCCGGGGGTTCCTCTTACTAAGCGTAATATATAAATATATCTGATTATAAAATATATCCATATATTATATTATATAGTAATATATTAAGTATATTATCCATTCTCTATATATATATAAGTATTATGATAATAGATATCATATACACATATCATCTGATTCTGGTACCAACTAGAAGCATGGATAATCTCCATATCATTAAAAGCCGTATCATCGATTTCCCATTGCAATTCCCCTGTGATAATTTGGGCATCAAGACCTATACCATCTATGGGGGGGGATAAAAAATCGACAGCTGTCCGAGATGACAACCGCAGATATTCGTTGCTCAACTAGCGATGATACCCTCCAGTGTCATCAATTCTCGCTGGAAGAGCCACCACAAATCATCGTTCCATGATGTTGGGAGATTTCCACGCAATCGGCATGTTTGATGATCACTGATCACACCGGAGGGTAACTCATAACTCTAATAGTTGCTTGTGTGTCCCTTAAAATCTATCCCATATTGTCACCATTAATCAACATCTATGCTTGGGTGGTTGGGATGTGTCTTCCTCTTCCTACGTCCTCCGTTCGACTAACGGAAAACACCTGAGGTCTCAGCTCTTTGTACGTGGCTGTCATGGCCTTGGCGGTAGGAATGTTTTGAAAAACACAACCAACAGTTTTTCCATATATACTATCAACTGTCGGGGATATATATATATATCCATAAGAAGAAAATGACCATAATAGTTACTAAGTTACTATAGAGGTATATATGACCATAATGTGACAACAACCAAAATAGTTACTATAACTACATAATATTAATGATATTTAATGATTATAGTCACCCACCCCAAAAGAATCAAACTTAAATAGAGCATAGTAAATCATCCTTAAATTTCACTGGGATGAACAGCCTGCTCCAACTTCTTGACTACTTTATTTGTTTATATGTTCTTACATCTACAAATACTGTAACATATATGTATTATGTATTATATATTATTATATGCTGTAACTTACTTGGGATACATATACATATATAACATATATATATATATGTACTGTTACATCTGCACATCATTCATGTATTGACCCCTCATCGACCGTCGTGTCTCGATCCAAAGAGCCAAGAAGCCAAGAACTCTTCGAAGAGCCAGCCGCCCTTCTTGTGCTTCAGCGGGTTCTGGATGCCATCCACCTATGGGATCATCAGCCGTTTCTGATCGGGATCAGCGTAACGCCGTGTTGGATGTTCAACGCTACTTTAAAAAGATCAGCGCTGTTAAGATAGTTTCACCATCATTCACTTTTTTAAAATGGATCTAATTATATGGTTCTAAATGTAATGGAAAGCTCATATTAGCCCAATACATACGGGTTCCCGAAGTCTCCTGCATCTTCCTTCGAACCAATCCCATCAGGCACTATTGGATCACGGGCGATCAGGCAGCTCCGCTGCGAATTGGTTTTCCAAGTAGATATCAAGCAGAAAAAAACATCTTATGGATTCTTATGGTGGGTTTCCGCCAGTTTCAGCACAATCTTGGATCATTTGTGATATCAAGTGGCATTAGCATCTGATAGATATCTCGTGCTGCGTTCAAATGGATCTCTAAACTGCATCTGAAGCTCGTAAGCGGCTGCTTGGCTATTTCAACTTTCAGCGCCCTTGAAGAATGTCAAAGTGTCACTTGGGGATCAAACCATATCTTTGTCTGCTGAGACCACTTTGCTCTTTATATCACTTTATTGATTTGAAAGCACCAGCTCTGGCGCGTTCCGGAGCCTCAAAGTTCTTGTCTTCTTTGCGATACTTCTTGATCACAAGTTCTTGCACCTGGTGAGAACGAACCGTCTCGAACGTCCCAGTCTTGCTGAACGTGCCCCAGATCAGGAGAGTCAATGAAGCATCGTTTTCCAGAAAATTGGATGAATGGAAAATCCAGATAAAACCCCAAAGATGCATAGATTGGCATAGATCATAGAATAATAAATCGTATATGTATATAATGTGTATATATATACATATATACTTATATATATATAATTATATATATATAAGTATATATATATATTACATATTGAGATGGTCAAATTAATTCCCTCAAATCGTTGGGTTTGAACAAGCTGGGGCATGAGTCACCGGATTTTCCATCCGAACGCGCTCCGGTCTTGTGAATTCCACTCACAGAACATGTTCTGGCAGTGTCTGAGGCAAATCTGTCCATTTCACAAAGGGTTTTGCACTACGCACTATGCATTTGGAGGGATGTTGCCTGCCAGTCACATGGCTAGTTTCCTACCCAAAATCGGTCAATTAGTATGTCCTCAAACCTTTGGACCTCTGATTCAAAACTCACGTCTGGCAAAGCATCGCAGCGGTGGTGGTGGAGATTCAATTAATTCTTGTATATACATTGTATCCTGCATCATCCATGCCAAAAAAACAAGAAAAAGGCAGAACCATGGTATGGATATCTGGGTTTGTCCAAACATTAGGGCATGATTACTTGGAAAAAACACTGGTTTAAAAATTTAAAAATTGCTTCTTCCCCATCATTTCATGGCCACAAATTGGGAGATAAACTATAAATTGGGAGATCAATCCCCAATTTTATTGGAAACACCCAGATCATATTGTTGGTCATATGTATATATATATGTATGTATATATATATGTATATATATACACTTCTCCATCGTCTGGTGGTAAACATCCCCATAGTTGTTGGCTAACTATAGCCTTTATCATTCGTTGGGAAAAGCCTCAAATCCAAACAGGTCACTGGACAGTCCCATCGCCTCATTCCCATCGGTTAAAACCTTCATTCAATTTCACATATGGGAAATGAAGGTTTTAACCAATGGGAAATTGATATATATATATTTATTTATGTATATATGCCTCAATCTTTTATGGCCATAAATAACCAAATTCTTTCTGGTAATCTAACAGATTGCGACAAAACATGACTCAAAAATTAGCTCGATGACTGAGAAAAAACAATCTTAAAAATGGTGATGTTCCAGAACTATGTTCAACTACCAGAGGGTACCCAAACGGGTAAAGTAACATAGATGTGCAAAATCAACCACACGTGCAGACTATTTTTAAGTTTTCCTGGGGAAGCTATGGGTTTTCCACATCTACCCTCTGGTAAACTAACATAACTATGGAAAATCACCATTTTTAATAGGTAAACCATCTATAAATGGGCCATTTTCCATGGCTATGTTAAATAACCAGAGTGTATGTTAAATTACCAGAGGTGTTTTTCAGGCACCTGCTTCATTGTTTGCTTTTCTCTGAAGGTCTTGGGCCGGATCTCCATCTGCCATGGTTACCATGGTTGAGATCACCGTGGCAAATTCATAGCTATGATAAATTCCAGCAAATTGATAGTTCCTCTGTTGAGATCATAGATGTCTTCAATTTTCTATGGTCTCTCTTTGAGACACACACAGAAAAAACACATTTGCCATCAATTACAAATATCAAACACAGAAAACATCTGCATACATCTGCATACATCTGATTACATCTGCATACATCTGCTTACATCAACGCAAATCTGCATTGCATTTAAAACTACTGAAAAGTATACATTGCCATATCTTTGATGCCTGATTCTGCCCGGGAAACGCACAAAGGCGTCTGTGGCCGAAACCCATCAACAAGCGGGTAAAGTGCAACCAATTTCAATCAAGAGCGCATCGTTCCATTGAAAATACTAAGTTGGTTTGCAACTTTTCTGCTCTGATGTTATGATTATTATTCTTCTTGCCTTGGTTGTTTTCGCTTCTCTGGTTCTTTGCTCACATGAACAGTGTCAAAAACCTGGGAGGCTAGCGACATTCTGAGACTCATTCGGCTAGCGACTGAGCCACCCATTGCAAACATGGTATTTTTTTGCTTCAGAATCTGAATTGCAAGAAAAGGAACCTTGAAAAAGATATGATCAAATGGGTATATGTATACATATATATATACATATCATGTAATGTCATATACATAATATACACATATATATATGTATATATATATATATATGTGCCACATGTCAACATCCAAACAGTTACTTTTTCGCCATGGCAACATGTGTTGATGACTGGCCCATCTCTGGACTCCTCTGCAAATCCTCGGAGAAGTGCCTGGCGGGCGGGTTTGATGACGACGACCCGGGAGGGTTCAAATGGTTTACCACAGTAATGATCATTATATAGTGGGAATACCATCATTGTGTATTGGGAAAATTATCACCATTAATGATGGATTTTTTGTGGGATTATAATGGATTATATACTGGGATGAATGGGGATTAATGATCATTGGCAAATTGGTGATTAATGATGACTTGGCATTGGGTTTCCAACATTCCGAACATAGGCAACAACAGCTTCAGTCATCTTCAGTCGACATAGTTCCTCCATACGGTGACTAAATCTTATATTCCCAGAAATGGTTTCCTAGCTTTGGGATAAACTCCAGGCCTTCGTGTAAATTTTCGCATTGACCAATCCGTTGATTCATATGTTTGGTACAAGGAAACATAATGTTGACCCCGGAGGTTGTTCAACCCTGTGGTAACCCCCCAAGTTTGAGTCAACCATGGTAGATCTTACCCCCCGGCTAGGATCATCAAACGACATGTGCGGTGCAACTATCTAGCAACATCTGGATTGGATATACTTCACCCATTGTATCCCATTACCATCCACTGATCCACTGTTCTGTTTCTTAAGATCACCCAACAATATACTTCAGCCCCATACTTTGATGGCTTAATTCCACAACAGCTGCGAAAAGTCAGGACCAGTTCTGGTTGGTTGTGAACCCATGTTTGGGATTTTAGGGATAAGCTACCAGTTCTTGTTACTTAAAAACCCAGCTGCATCTTTGAAGGATGGAACTCGTGAAGCATGTTGCTAGCTTTCGCCCCCGTGTACCTTGCTGCTGAGGTGACCGGGCGTCGTCTCGGAGTGCTTCAGGAAGCAATTAATGATGGAATCCTGCTGGAAACTGGGATTCAATGCATGTGTGGGAAAAAAAAAATACAGAAAATAAGTGGTAGCAACAGATGTAGTAACTACCTTCAATTTTTTGCGGGCTAACCCTGGATTGTACAAGTTTTTTCAGGAATTTTGCAAGCCGGGATGGGTCGTAACAGTCAAACGTCCTCCGAAATCTGTAATTTGCAGGGCCATTTTTGCAGCCGGAAGTTGGGGATACGCCGCTGTCTCGGGGCCCAGTTGGATGAGCGTTCGGAACATCTACGGGACAGCTTCGAAATGTCAACATCTTATCTATTCATACATGACTATATATGTAGATACATGTAGATACTATATATATATTATTATTACTAATTATTATCATTATTATTGTTATTATTATTGTTATTATTATTGATTATTATTATTATTAATAATAATTATTATTAAATGTATATATATATTGTATATTAAAAATTATATATACACATGTATGTATACACATTGTATATAACAGCAACATTATGAATGCGTCTGCATACATGAACACGCCTTCTCTGGGATGTTCATCTTGATGATGGTCACCGCATGATCCAAGATATCCTGGGCCACTGGGGAATCCAATGGGCGCAGGGGTATATAAAGAAACCATACTTCATGATTTAGCTGGGAAACTTAATGTATATTAATTGAATATCATTGGATATTTGATGGGGATTTAATATGATTTAACGCGAATACGCTGGGGATAGAATAGGATCCAGAACCAGCACTTAGACTAAGTGAGTTACCCTCTGATACTCATGGCTGGAACATCGCCCAAATGGAGCTTGTAATGGGACACATATGATTTAACACATGGGAAAAATCATCAAATGGCGGATATTTCCCAGATGACTTCGGCGACTTGGGGATGATTTCCCTAACTTTCCATGAATGGTGAGGTCAAATGGGGTCTCTTTGATCTACTCAGATTCATCTTCGGTTCAAATTCTGGTTTCGTTGGCCTGGTGATACCGGGTATCAGAGCATTCTGTTGCTTCACATCCCTAGAGTGTCCTTATTCTCCGCAGGGGTGGTTCAAAATACTCATCTCACAGGGCTGGTGATCTATGTCCATGTGAACATCATCCGCATGAGTCCGCATGCGCAGACCAACACTTGGGAGGCTGCACAATTGAAGTGTGAGAGCCAATTGTTCCATCCAGTGCTCCCACATTCCAAGTCTAAGTTCTCAAATTAAATCATCTTGAGTTGGTTATTATCCCACCTTAATCCATCTGGAAAGTTTGTTTCATGTCCCAGCATTTTCATGCTGAAATTCCCGCTGAAATTCCCGCTGAAAACACAACCCGAAACGTCGTCAATAGCCATCGCCCAGTCCTGCAATCGCTCTTCTTCATCAGGGCGAGAATACCTCAGGAATCTCGTCCATAGCTGGACAGGATTTCGTCACCAAAAACATCCAAAAACTCTCGTCCGTTGATGCATCATTGGTGGTACTTTAGTTGTGCTTCTGATAACACGGATGATTGGTGGAAAGTCTAGTTACTTCTTGATTTTGGCTCCAGTTTCATGGAGCAAGATAATGTTAAGAGATGTTAAGAGTGGTGATAATTCAAGATCGCCAGAGCTCCCACTTATGCTACACCTCCTAAGTCATTTAATGTCACAAGGTGGAATGGATATAAACAGGGATTCCAAATGTTCAACGACAAGGCACAGCTGATCCACTAGATTGTTAGATTTGCACCTCCGAAACTGGAGAATCGTCTTCCAAAGCCCATCTCAAGTTCCATGGTCGCTTCCAGAGCCTATTTGTTCCCTTGCGGACAAGAGGATGTTTTTGAGTTCTCCTTCAATGTCACCCTACTGTGGCGTCAACCAGTGCATAGTCTTTACATCAGTTGCAGGTCCCTCTTCTAATCCGCAAGTAGGATGCTACGTAGTGCTTGAACAAATCTTGGTGTGGAAAGATCCCTCAAACTATAAGGATATATATAAGGATTCTTAGTAAGTGGTGCATATCATGGCGTAGAACCCCCAGAAGCTGGGATACATGCAAATATCAAATGTACTATGACATATCCCTACACTGTGTAGCCAACTTTTCCGGGGATGGTTGCAGATCAAAACGAGCCTTCTCATACTGGCTCCTTGCCCCTTGAACATCCTTAGGCGCAAGAGTTTGGTCAAAACATGGCCAGGGACACAATGGGATTTCATGGGATATCACGAAGAAATCATGAGTTGGGGTGTTCAACATATAATATCATATAATGTTGGAGCATCAACAAAACCAGTCACCATGGCACACAAATACGACCCGACGTAGAAATGCTGGACCTTGGACCGACTCAAGATTCATAGAGCTAGAAATTCGTATCGGTTAATGATTCAAACCGATAAACCGCCCATGTCTCACAGTATATACTGTATTATATATATATGTAATTTGTTTCATTTCACCATCCAATAATGTTCGATCATCTAATCATTTACACATACAACTTAAATAATAATGTCATATATATATATATACGGAACCCCAAACAACATTGATCATCTACTTCATCCTAATCTCCTGTTTCAAAACAACCCCAGTCCGCTTGGATTTCTAGATTCTCCATCAGGTCGATCCCTATTTCTGGTTGGTAAAAAGACTATGACTCAAGGATGATGAAAAATCCCACGTGGTACACCATTATTGTTGGTTACATATCGCAATATATACCATTCTTCGTGGTTAAAAACCCGTAGTAAATGACGGTTATACACAAATCAAACAACCATAGATGATACCAAAATCCATGAACATCCCGGCCAACAAAACACACACGAGTAGTACATGAAATGGGTTTGTCTGAAAGTAGGGTACCCCTGAATCCCTTGTTTTCCATATTGAATGACAATTTTACGGGTATATATTGGTATACCCTATTTTCAGACAGATCCAAATGATTGTAAAATCCCACTGGGGATGGTATAGTAGATGCCAAAATAGTACTAAAATCCATCCAAAATCCCAAATTTAATTCGGAATAATTATATTTCATAGATTTTTATACTAGTTTAACATGATGGTAAATTATGATTATATACATATATAACATGATGGTATTTAGGACTCACTATTGAAATTAACCAATTTTTGGGAATATGATTGCTATGATAACCAATAATTTAACATTAATCATGGATTATTTTTGGGATGGTACCATTTTTATGGTTTACCCTCTAGAATAAACGTTTACGTAATGGAAAATCACCATTTTTCATGGCTAAATCCACTATTTCGACGAACGGGCTATTTTCAATAGCGAACTGTGGCAGTTTACCAGAGGGTATATCCCATTCATATCCCATTTATAGATGGTTTACCTATAAAAAATGGCAATTTTCAATAGCTATGTAACAAATTACCAGAGGGTATATCCCATGATGGCCCCGTGGTCCATCATGGTCCCATCATGGTCCCATCATGGTCCCATGATGGTCCCATGATGGTCCCATCCCAGGACATCCCAGGCACGAGGTCCGTGGTGTCCGCTTGCGCTGCGACGTTACCGCCGAGGCGAGATCGCTGATGAGGTCGTTTTCGGGCGGCATCCTGCAACGAAGTCGGGCGCCGTTGATGGAAATGTAGTTTTTTTTTTTTGACCAATCCCTAAGGATCCATGTATGGAATATTTACCTACATTGGGATTATTTTAAATTACTTTAGGGGTCAATGTAGGTAAATATTCCATACATAGATCCTCTGGGAATGATGATCAACGCCAGATGTTCGGATTTCATGGAGATGAATGGGGGGTTTTAGTGGGGATTCAATGGGTTTGAAATGGTTTGAATGGCGGGATTTGACGGAGATTTGATGGGAAAAAACATAGGGACATTTCATGGCCCATGACGGATCCATGGTGCTGCTATATATGGTAGCATGTATACCAGCACCATGGATCCTATGGATGGGGATTGATGGAATACAGAAGCAACAATTCGACTTACCCTCTGGTAATCCAAGGCTGGGAAACCACCGAAGCAAATGGAGCTTGTAATCCGTTGCCATCGTTGCCATGGAGATGGAGTGCCGGGTAACAGAAAAAGACGTTGCCTCATGAAAACGAAAGATTTCTCCTTTCCTTGTGTATCATTTCCCCTGTACTTTTTGGAAGTTTTACTTCTTTTTGACGACATTTTCTATTTGATGCCTTCTGCTTGCTTTGAGGATCCCACCTCAGGTCTCCCAATAACTGTTGAGGGGCCCGAGGATGACTAAACAAACATTGATGATCTCAGATTCTGGGTGGATACGTCTCCATCGACAGTTCGGTATATGTATATTCATGTAATTTCGTATACATGCCAATCAAAAACATGCAGTTTCTTCAGGGACAACCATCAAGATCCTTCATGATGTGTCTGTTTGTAACTGCCAAGTCATTCAGCAATTGAATGGGAGGAAAACCTCATTGTATTGCGTTCCTCAGTTTCGAACACACCTTGATAGACATATATTTGTTGCTATTTGCTCACCCTTTCGTCATCTTATAAATCTTATATGTTCTTATATATATATATATATACACATTGATATAACTTTTTACCCAAAGCATTGATAAGTATATGTATATAATTTATCACATCCAACAATAAAATTGAGGGATGGTAATGAAACCTTCCCTCGGTGAGGGAGATCTGCCACACACACATGTTCTGTTTCCGATGGTCGAAGTGGCTCTTAGCCGGCAATAAGCCAACAGTTATGGAAATTTCGATCTCTTTGCTGGGAGTATTTTGTCAGTATCATCTTATGTAATCTTATATATATATGATATATATATATGGGGATTTTGATCTATATAAATGTTGAGTTATGTTGAGTCATCAAGTCCACAGCGGCACGATTTGGGTGGTTTTCTTTGGTTTGTTTCTGAGCTATGTGGAGTACTGGGTTCCATCAAACCTTTCGCGGGAACATTGGAGTCAGAATCGTTGGAAATGGTTCAAAGCCTGAAACCAGCTTAGAGGTGCCAGTCCAAACAATTACACAGTTTCTCCACAAGAACCGTTCTTCCAAGTTTCAATTCCTAAGCTTTCTACAACACCAATCCACTTGTATTGCTACACTAGAAACAGTATATTTGTATATGAACATTCTAGTTAAAAATATGTTAAATTTGATGAGCCACAAAAAAATATGTGCGATTCCTTTAGCAAAAAACAGTGTTCGTATATTTTAGTGAGGAATGATTTCCAATCTTGAAGCAACAATGGCCATCCTCGTGTACAATCCCTACCAGGAACTTTAGTTCAACTCCCATATATGCCATATCCCAGAAGGTCCCCCGTTTTTGTTCCTGAACAGAAAAACCAGTTTCATTGGTGGCTGGAACCTCCGCATTTGGACACAACTGCAACCCACCCAGCCTTTCTTCTCCGTCTGTCTGCGCTCTGCTCATCTTCCTGGCTTTGTATTGGATCTACTGATACTTTTTTGGGGCCCGTATGGGCCCACAAGGGGGAATCATGATTTGTGTGGTGATGGACTGTATCAAAAGTCTCACCACCCACAAGTCAAAATATCAAATGGCGCGTTCCTACAACAAAAACATACTGAACGCGAATGATGTTTAGGCAAGTTTGCCCAATGTTCGAATCAAACCCACAACAAGTACATGTTATGCTGGTTTCTACCCTCCAGTTAATGAACACAGATATGGGAAAGCCACCATTTGGAGATCACTTTCCTCTGGAAACAATGGGTGTTCTATATCTGTGTGAGTTCACCCAGGGGTAGACTATTTGGGAACACTAACCCTACAGGTTTCTGTATGATTTTGACCCATGCCATAACTCACATCAGGTCAAGAATCTATTGCAACATCTTCGACACACTGGTTGGTCAATGGGGGTTATCACTTCTCCCACCTGATCGAAATTCGATACTCCCCAAATCCTCTCCAATGTTTTGGTAATATACTCATTGGTTCTTAAGTTTTGTTGAAACTGACTCCCCCGCCTGGTAAATCTCCTCTCCATATTGGTGCTCATTCTTCTTCGAGCACCTTCCTGCCATCAGCAGAACAAAAAAACGCCGCTTCGGATGCATAGTTTATTCATTATTTATTCTATGAAACCGAGAACACAATTTCTGGCTGCCATCTTTAGGCCTTGAAAGGATGTGTTGTTTTTTGTTTTGGATGTTGTTTTTGTTTTTTTGCGGGTCCCTTAGATAGTTCCACTTAGTCTCCATCACCTTGATCGTCAGCCAGGGCGTCTCCAGGGTTCACAGATGGCCTGTTTCACAGAAATCTACCTTCTTGATCCCCATCTCAGAACAACACTGAAATAATTATATAACGGTAATTCAGTAATATTTTTATTAAGTAATAATCATAGTATATATGGGATTAATCATGAATGCAAATCCCATAATAATCTTGCAATTATATAATTGTTTTGTGCCTAGTTCCGTTTGCAGACTTCGTTCACCTTTTTTGTTTTCATTCGTTAAACATGTCAAACAGATTCAAACAGAAAACACTTTAAAGCTTCAACCCATATGATCTCCACATATCTCCTCCTCCTTTTTCTTTCGATCTTCCGTCTTTTGCAGCAATCTCAGCGCCCACGCAGAAGGCCTGGTGCCAGCCATTGCATAATGGGAAACCATCAATTTTTTTCCATTGCCTATTTTCAGACACACCCATAAAACATGGAAAACGTCCTGGCGGTGTTTTTTGCGGTCGACTTGTTCACAATGGTGCTTGAGTGCTTGATGAGCCATGGCATGCCATGGCTTCATGAAAACTGGAGAAAGATCATTCGAGATGCCATGGGGGCAATCCATCATATTTCTTGTACCCTCTGGTTATTTAACATAGCCATGGAAAATGGCCCATTAATAGATGATTTTCCCATTAATACCTCCATTTATAAGGAATTCTCCATGACTATGTTAAAAAACCAGATGTTTATTTGATAAAACGTGTTCAAAACTGCGACTGATGATCTTTTGATTTTTTTTACAGTACCTCAGAAGGCGTGTTTCTCTTGAATCCTACCGTTCTTCTGCCAAACCGACAGTAAAGCAAACATAAACAGGTCCATGCGTAGTCCTCATATATTCATTCTCAGGATATGTATAATGATATCTTTATAATATGGACACCATCTTTCTACATATCTACATAACCCTTTGAGATAAGATACATTTCGATAATCTTAGATACATAGATACATGATGATACATGGAATATGCAGATGTACTCGATATATCTACAAATCCTATACCCTTTATCTGTAACTTCTGGGCCCAGCTGGGACTGATTTTTTTCGCCATCCCTTTGGTCAAAGTCACTGAGAGCTGAAGTGCGCTACAACCTAGCGGAAGGCCATTGAAATTGCAAGCGGTTGGCCATTGTCTTGGTCAATTTCAACCAAAACGCTTGGATTTCGTTGGGTAACCTAGGGTAAACTAATTGAACAGTCCATAAAAATATTGGATCTCATAATATCTCATAATGAAATCGTGGAAATTATCCATTCCGATATTTCACCGCTTTGGAACATGTGAATCATGAGTCTTTTCCCAATATGAACATCTGGGTTCCAAGGGTTCCAAGGGTTCCTTCCAACCATCGGATCCATCGGCTGGAAAATTCATCAAACGACACTGTGATGGCCTGAGATGGCCATTCCAAACGAGTTTTGCCGTCATTTGGATAGCCTCTGGTAAATCAGCATAGCTGCTATAGCTCTGTAGTCATTGTGCATTTTAAACATTTTTAAACCGCGTCACTAAAAACGCCAAAAAGAAGCAACTCGTCTGCATTCGTTGTTGGTGGTCTCAACCCACAAATCTCTATATATATATATATATCTATATCAGCCAGTGCAACCGTCCATGGGGCAAGAGTCAAAGATATCTACTACAGCAAATTGCATTATAATTAGATCCTCACATTCCTGAAACCATCTAAAGCCCAAATCATGTTCTTGGTCGCATCTCCCTTATTATCCTGTTATGTAGCCACAAAATACAGCTACATATCCCACTAGATCCCACTATCCTATCAACATAGTTGTGTATTCCAAAATATCATATAAATTGTCCCCATAAAACGGTGTACATAGAATCCACAAAACATGGATTTGGATAAAACATGCCAGAAATGTTGTGTACTGTACCCCATTGTACCATGCTTTGTCCTCAGTTTCCCCATTAAAAACGCTTGGTTTTACTTCATACAAGGTGATGCACAGTTCTAAATTGGTTTATATATCTGTGTAAGTATCAATAATGTATGGATAGCATAACCCCTACTTAACGTAATGGACTAAACCAATTTAGCTAACGATTGGGGGCACCAACTTGTCCATCACTTTGTCGGTGAACTTACAACTGATTGGTGAAGATATAAGTTATTGAACATATTCATTTCAAATAATTATTTGACACATATGAAACCACCAACGTAAAAAATGTGTCAAACAAATAAACAGCATCACCACCAACATCACCAACATCACCAACATCACCAACACCACAAACATCGCCAACATCACAAACATAACCAACATCACCAACATCACCAACATCACCAACATCACTAACATCACTAACATCACTAACATCACTAACATCACTAACATCATCATCATCATCACCACCATCATCATCGTCATCGTCATCGTCATCATCATCATCATCAAACTATTATTATTCATCATCTGAAATAACATTCAGTCATTGGAGTCAACATAAACATGTGCCAGATCGCCAAACTATGCTATATTGGTTGTGGTCATCCATTATCCATCCCATTATGGCAATCACAATCAGTATATCAAATTCCTATGGATTGATGACCGTCACCGAATTTGCAATCCAACATATCCAACTATTGACCATCGCACATACGAACATGTTGGTGGAGAACATCATGGGCTTGTGGGGCAATAATTACCCCGATACCAGTGGTTGATCTCAGTATGTGTTTGCATACATACAGCTCGGCGATTTGGGGGTTTCAATCCACCATTTTCAGAGACCCCCAAATCGTCTCAAGTTGTTTATCCTATTCTATCCCCAGCAGAATTCCATATTAAAGCCAAACAAAAACAAAAAAGGCTATGAGTCAAAACCCTGGGAATGTAGGTAATTACCCTAAAATAGCTGGTTAATGGATCTTTATCCACCCAAACAGGTTTTGACCCATCCCCAAATGACGCCAGGCCCCTTAGAGCCCGGCAGGTGGAGGCGGCCAGGGCTTGTTGTGGGACCACTTGGGCACCACCGCCAGGCCAAACTTGGCCGCCTTCTCGGGGTGAGCCTTCACCTGCAACGAGGGCGACCAGGGCCATGGGTCCACGTGGGAGATTGTACTGGAACATGATGGGAAAATCTGGACGCATATGGGGATTTCTTGAAAAACCACGAATATTCATCGGAAGAGATTGAGGCCATATTTTGGAACATGATTTTTGAGTAACCGTAAACAGTGAATTTTGGGAGAATGGATTTGGTTGAAGAGGTTAGCCCGGAATGGAGTAAGTAAGGGGATTAATTGAAAAAGAACAAGTTATGGGAATCTGGAATCTGTAATAGCTGAATAGTGGAATCGGAATATTGAAGCCTCCCAAAAGCCACGTCGTAGAGCCATTAATTATTTGGATCCCTGAGATGCGTGCTGAATGTGTCTGAATTTTCTTGGGTTTAAGCAACAACGAAGCTTTGACAGGGGTGTAGCACCAACCATTTGACAGGGGTAGTTGTGTTTGTCATTGTTTGTTTGAACATATGGGACGTACCAGCAAATTTTATCAAATTGGCCATAGAAAAAGTGAGGAAACTGATTCATAATCATGAGATTCCTGATCATTGCGTTGAGAGATTGCAAATATCCACTGAATCCATCCCGGTCCAGCCCTTTTCGTTGATTCTCAGCTGCTGATGTCTTCCAACGATCTGGGATATCCATGAGAGCAAACACTTCTGTGGTTTCCCCTCAACTTGCAAACAGCTTGATGAAATAGTCCCATAATTCAACAAACATGGTGATTCAAGTAATCATCATTGAGATAAGGTGCTAGCACCAATGCTGGGACATTTCAACAAGAAAATTTAAAACGGTAAACTAGCGCAAACACAATTGATAATAGAGAAGTGTTTAACAAAGCCAGTTTGTTAAGATCTCGTAGGACTGCAGTTCTGTACAATGCTGCTGCATAGTGTGTTCGAATCTGTGTTTCTCACGCAGAGGAAGGATATATACCATCTGGTTATTTAACATACCATGGAAAATCCCAACCATAAATGGAGGTTTCTAGCTGGGAAAATTATCTATTTCTATGGGCCATCTATTACCATGGCTATGTCAAATAACCAGAGGGTATATATATATACATATATATAAATATTACAGTGATATTGTGCTGCCATGCGGCCATAAAACCAATCAAAACCACTATAAACTAATGTGTTCATTCAGAATGCCAGGCCAAAAGGGGAGAAACTCTGCTCAAGTCACGTTCGTCACGTTCCTGCAGGGTATTGTAGAATCTTGTAGAGTCTATGTCCAATGATAGCCAAACAATACCAACATTTTAAACCTATTACAGGGATGGCTCCAAATTTTTGACACCAAACATGTGATGGTTTCAGCACCTTTAAAAACTGATGAGCCACTTCTGGGTCAGTAGCCTCCAATTTCTAGCGCCAAGTTTCAAAGGGTTTCCTGGGCATTTTCCTGATCAAATCTCCATCCATCCAGCTCTTTTGGTGAGGACACCCTTCTGTTTTAGGATTGAACAACCATAAAAAAAGACGCATATTTTCAATAGTTCAACTTCAATCTGCAGCGGTTCAACCCTTGATTTCAATGGCTAAAGTTAAATTGCAATGTTTAGTAGTTTTTCATAATCTTGTTAGCTCCCTTATCCTTGGCTCAAGTCAACATGTTCCTGGTCTTTCCAACCCGTTTTTGGTACTTCCAAATCCCTAGTGGCCCTAGTTCCAACCGCAAGACTAGCCCACTGCGAGCCGCACCATCTTGCCCAGGGTGCTGTTGGCCAGCACCTGGCTCAAGTCCAACCATCTGCAGCTGGGAGGAAACTCTCTGCATTGGCAAACACCTTGGATGTACGTACCTGTACGTATGTATATGTATATGTGTACAGTGTGTGTATATATATATATACACACATACAGTGTACATATTGTATAATATATATATAGATAGATTTAAGACACATACTAAATCATACAAGTAGTAATATAGTTTGACCGTCACTTGACCCACACAGTTGAAATATCGAAGGTAAATATCAATTATATCAATTTCCAGTGGTACATTGCGGATTCTGTGCTGGAAAGTGGAAAGATCTACGCCATGCGTTCGGCATAGATTCCCGCAAACTTTTTATCTTAAGCATCCACTATTTGTGGCTGGAAGGGAAACCCAAGATATAAGAGGCCATTTTGGGGGATTTAAGCAGCAAAAACAATTGTATACAGCCATAATTTGCATCGGCAAGAGCTGTTAACTAATTGCAAAAGGAAGCAACAACACTGAGAGTGCATCCATTGTAAACACATCAAAAAATCATCCAAAATCATGAGGCTGCGGCCTTTTTTTTGGGACACAAGACCCCACCACATGTTGACAAACAATTTACCCCTATGCCTCTATGGTTTAGCAAAGATGTTGGAATGTCAAAACAGTCCCCCGGTCTGGAGTCTGGAAGATGTATCCATCAACCAAGCGCCTTACCCTGAAACGCGCCTCTCTGAAACGCGTCTGTTGAATTTTGGAGCCTCAGGCTCTGGCGTGAATCGAGATCAATTCAAAGGTGCTTGCACCCGTTGTTGTTTTGGCTCAATATGGTTCAATGCTCCTACTTCTTTCTCATTTCTGAGTGATAGAACTTTGCAACTGGCACAGAAACAGCAGTTAACATAGATGGATTTCCAACATGAACCGTTGCGTTTTCACATGTTTCTGCTTTCGACATGTTTTAATGTCTTAAAATACTGTTTCCATCTCCAACATCCCTTGGGTGATCCCACTCAACACACAGGTTTCTGAAACACTATAATTATACGTAGGTTTTCCTTGTTGGCAAATAACATGATGATTACATGTTTGATCACTGACAACCAGCATTTTGGGACAGGCTATCAGTTATCTAAATTGAACACGTATGAATCTGAGGTTTCTAGTGGCGCCATCCAGAATGCCCGACGGTGAGGTTGACGGAGAGGTCGACGGAGAGGTTGACGGATCCGTCAAAGTGTCCGTCAAGGTGTCCGCAGCAAGAAATAAGGCAACTAAATGCGACCGGGGTACGACAAAGTTCCAAGCTAGGATTCTAAGGGGAGAAGGTGTGCAGAAGAAGAAACGCAACAAACGCAACTCTTGTCTTACCACTAGTGTATTTGGGGGATGTTTTCATATACCTTCACCATATCATATCTCGTATGTTCCATGGTCAAGTCAAGAACTGAAATAGGTAGTCTGGCCATCCATTCCACAATCTGACATTATTTACAATGGGTAAATCAATCCGTATTGGATTCATGAAGTGATGAACCATGACCCTATATTTGGTTTACCTTACCTCATCCATCGTTTGAATATGGCACACACACAGACATGCATCAGATGTATGCATGCATGTATATGTACAGTTCATATATGTAGGATTGTTGGAGTACCCTCATGTACCCTCATTACCCCGGGGTTTATCAGCTCTTATGTATTGGTATTCTGTTGAGAGGTAAGAGTACCAGCACTATACGCCAGACACATCCAAAAAGCATTAAACTGGTTATATATCCCATTACATATCCATTAAATACCCATCAAAAATCTTCAAACCAGCACGCATCTATTGCTAGTTGAATAATGTTAAATAATAATAACAAACAAAACACAATAAACATAAATATACAGTTAAATAATTAGTGTTAAATAATAAGAAAAAACAATAAACATAAATATGATATCCCAATTATATCCCCATGTAAGTTGGTTAAACCATATCTCCACGATATCCCCAGCTTTTCTGCCCTCGCCACGCGGCTCAATTTGCAGCTCTTGGCTGCGCTGCTTAGCATAGCCTTGGGATGGTGGCCAATTTGTGGCCAATTTTACAAGGTGGGGGTCCTACTTGCCTAAGTTGGCTTTTATGTATAATGTAATATAACAAAGTCTTATGGTAGATATACCATTTATACCATGATACATCTATGAGTTAATGAGGTTATACACCTTCGCCCCAGAAGAAAATAAGTGACCAGTAGTCTTCATAGTCTTCCAACCCCTATTTAGAAGCATCTCTGTGAATTGGGTGGATGGTAGATCCCTTGCAACAACGTGTTCATCTTTGGCTGAAGAACGCAAGAACGAGACGAAAGATTAAACATAACGATAAGAAACCAAACGCAAACAAAAATAAGGAGAATAAAAAGAACAAGAAGTGGATCATGAACAACAACAACAACAACAGAAACACAACAACAAGAACAACAACCACAAAAAAAAAACAGAACAAAGAACGACACGGACAACGGCAACGGCAACAACAACAAAAACAACAGCTACAACTGCAACGGCCACAACAACAACAACGACAACAACAACACCAACAACACCAACACCACCAACACCACCACCACCACCAACAACAACAACAGCAACAGCAACTGCAACAACTGCAACAGCAACTGCAACAACGACAACGAAAAGCACAACACACAACTCAAACACAAAATCAGGACCAAACAAATACTATCTATTAATTACTAGCCTGAATGAAACAGAACCAGAGAAGGCTTTTATGCTCTAACTGGTCTCCATGACGCTTAGGTCTCACCATCCCAATCTTTAACCGCTATGTTTGTGTCAGAAAAAAAACATCAGGGGTCCCAACGGTTGTTTTTGTTCACGTGCTGGAAAGTAGCCTTCTTGGCTGGTTTCTATGTCCTTAAAAAAAGGGGGCCCTTTTCTGGCCAGGTGGCAGCTAAGGAGTCTCGAGCAGCTGGCGCCTGGGGGGTTTTGGCACGTGAAACATGTGGACAGCGCAGCCACCACAGCTATCACCAGCTTTCACTGAAAACATGAATCAACCAAATGGGGATGTTGATGAACAAGGAAAGGGAATATCACCAAGATAAAGGTTCTGGGTTAAAATTGCAGAAATGGGTGCGCACAGGTTTAGGTGGTTGTTGAAGATTAATCATCCCTGGTGTCACTGAAAGAAAATTACATGTTCATTCTAATATGAACCCCAATCACTAATCCTGCGTTTTTAGAGGTTTTTAGTATCTGGTATTATTCATCGCTGTCCTTGGGAATTCAAATCCGGTCCCGATTCCCAAATGATGTCATTTTCGGAGGCACGGTCACATCGGATCCCCCAAGTTATATCCCAGGTCACGTCTGAGCAACCACCCATAGAACGGCCTCCTCCTCCTCCGAGCTTTCGGAAGGCCTGCTCAAAAACATGGCCATCATTAGAACGGGGATAAAAACAAATTGGGGTAGAACCGAGTTCTGATTGGGGCCATGTTTTTTTTTGCAGCATCAAACAGCGCAATTGAAAATAAACACGGAAAGACCAGGGGAAACTGGGCCTTGAACTTCCCCGTGTCTGCCAGGAGGAAATGAAAACAAAATTTGATCAGACCATTCTGAAACAACGGCACCGACAAAAAGAACAAAAGGATATGGGAACCTTCAAGTTTCTGCACAAGACCAGTGTCTACCTAGGGCGTGGTGGCACGTGGTTTATCTGCATATGCAATGCCAAGATACACACTTGCTTCCAAAACTGGGCCTTTCGACTTTTGATATTTCCTACAATGCAAGAAAACTAATTAAGGCACCAAACATAACTGGTTGTTTTGGAAGCCCTCAAAAACTTGTATAAAAATAATAATTAATCAGGTAGGGCGAAAAGAAACAAATGCCAAACCACGAACCAAACAGTGAATTTCACCATGCTTCTATCTTGAAGAATAAATCTCATCAGCGCTAAAAATTGCCGGACCAATTCATGGCCAGGGCTGATCTCAGGATCCACACTGAGGCGTGTTGTCTGTCTCCATGGAATAAAGTGATCTTGGGCTACCTGAGAGGCAAGACCAAGTGGATCAATGCGAACCTCAAAACTGTGACAGTGCATGATAAATGTAATTTTCCTTGGAAAACATCATGGTTTTGAAATTTTAAGGATCCAAATCAAACACTGCACGATAGCTTGTATCACCGGGATTTCACCGCGCTGGAACAACTGTTCTGTGGCCAGTTGGTGTATTGGCACTCGGTAATGCCTGGTCTGTTCAGCAAAATAACCCAAAAGACAATTGTACGCAATGTAAAGCACGCCAATTCTGTATGTGGTTTGTCAATCCAGAATTTGGGCACATGCATGCGTAGATATGAAAGCATGTTCGAACTGAGCCATCCAGGCGGAATTCCGGTTGTGTTGTTTGAGTTTGACCCATCACTTCGGTTCCGGAAAAAAAAGCCTCAAACACGGATAGGAAATGGAGGCACACCACACCAAATGTCCTCTTGATCATGTGACTTTGTTGTGTAATTTTTATTGGAACAAATGTAATTTGCTTGTCGCTCGAAACTATCTACCCTGAGCAAGTCGCTGGATTGACCTTAGCATGATCAGTTTTGTTGGTGCATCAGTGATACTTGATTGTTGAACCATACCCTCTATAAAAGAAGCAGAGAAGGCCTACACAACTTACAATGCCGCCGGGGCCGCTTGGAGAAATTGCTGCGCTGTCTCCTTTCATCTCCTGGAGCGACAACCCGCGCGCTGCCCGTGCGCATGAGCAGATGCTTCCGATGTAAAAAGCATTGGAATTCTCTGGGACACGCCATGGGGTTGGTTCTGATGTGCCCTCTCCTTGCCTGGTGTGTCCAAAACCGAGCTGAGCGATTTGGGAAATCTTGGGAAGTGAATGCAAGGAATTGCACACTATGCACGAGGCACATGCGATTGTAGATGGGCGATTCTAGGCCGGCCGCAAAATGTCTTCCACAACGCACAATTTGGAGGAAAACGCATCCAGCTCTGGGTTTGTCCCAAAATAGGCTACAGTATACACCAAAATGGCAGTTCCGAGGACAAAGCAATGCTACTCAAGTCCCACCGTGACACCGAGTTCTGAAGCAGTGCTAGACTCAAAAGTTGTTGGGGACCCGCAGTACAGCTGCCAAGAAAAAACAAACAAAAGACAATAATACCCAAAATCCCAAAATGAAAAACCCCACGGTGATATTTCGAGCAAAAAACGTTTTTCTATGTTATCGTGTTGTGCACTAGTATACATAACCTGTGTATATATATACATAGACATATATAAATAAATAAATAGATGAATAAATGAATGCATAACTAAAGAATATATATATATACACTAATACGTATATAAAGAATTGGCTACACATATAATATAGACATACATATTGAAATATGCATGTATACACATGAGGATCTTCTTGGTGCTTCGGTCCTAGACTGGGTGACTCGACCTTCATGGAACCATGGCTGATTAGCTGATTGGTCTTCACCAGTCCATGGATGTGTCAACACTTCAACAGTGGAGACATGGGATCTCCCCAAACCTGTTTGGTGATCTTTAACCACCGCAAACAAAATCGACTTTTGTCCACCCCCACAAAAACACATGGGATCGAAAGCCGCACACCATGGTATCCACCGTCTATCTTGGCCATAGTTGAGAGAACAGCCACTGGTTGATGGTGCCAACCCATCAACCAGAGATGGCAAGTACACACACATACATTTTAAAATAATTTAAAATATATACATTATACATAGGATAGGTTTGGAGGTAGGTGTGGATAGACGATCTTTTGCTGTCGAGTACAGTACCTCGAATTTAGGATGTTTGTTATTAACACATACCCACGTAGACCTAGCAACCAACTCCAGCTGAATTGTCAAACTGCCTTGCCTTTGGTGACCTCTAGTCAGGATATTGATTGTCATCTACCATCGTGTTATTTCTTTACGCAGAAACAGATGAAGGATATTTGGCGGTCCCGGAATTTAAGGTTATAGTGGTTGTTAATTGTTGATGCTCAGCCCAACAGCTCCGACCAAACTCGATTCACCGTTTCCGGTCGAAAAATCCTTGCAACTTACCAGGTTACCAGGAACTGAAGCTTATTCCTTAGCATGGAAGCAATAGTGATGACCATGGTCAGACTGAGATGACCATGGTGGGGATGTCCAATCGCATGGCCATCCAATTCTCCATGACTCGATCTATGGACGTCCTCACAATTTGCAATCGCTAAATATCGGTAAATCTCTTTTATATATATATATATCATATTATATCATATGAATATATATATATATATATATACATATATATATATATAAGTTATATTATATATATATGGACATGGAGCATTTTCCATAGCTATGTAAAAATTACCGGAAGGTAGTTGATTTATTATGATGAAATGGGTTGCCCTGATGCTCACCATGCATCAGCCCACGATCTCCTGGTCCTCTTGCTGTCGACCTGCACGACGATTCGTGTGTCTGGGTGTCTGGGAGCCATTCTCCTGGAGAAATGGTAATTCTTGGGTGATCTTCATCACTGGCGATTTGAAATACCCTCTGGTAAACTAACATAGCTATTGAAAATTGCAATTTATAGTGGATTTACCCGTATAAAATGGTGATTTTCCATAGTTATGTAAGCGTTTACCAGAGGGTATCTCGAAATCACCAAAGAAGTCTTAATATATGTCGAGTCTATGTGGCTCCAAGTGAATCTAGGCCCAGCCCCCCTTGGTCGGCCTGCTGGAAGGTGAACCAGCTGCCGAAGCGCTGAGGCCACTGCAAGGCGCTGGACCTCACTGGAAGAAGGTCCAATGGAAAATATTTTTCTTGGAGGCCCCAATAACTGGATGGTTTACCCTCTGGTAATTTAACATAGCTATGGAAAATCACCATTTTTAATGGGAAAATCCACTATAAATGGCCATTTTCAATAGCTATGTTAGTTTACCAGAGGGTATTTATGTTTATTCGTGGAACATCCGGATTTAACATGGATATACATGCGGGGACCCCCAGACGAGGAAACCTCCATCGAGGTATAATACATTATAAATTAGAAATTATAGTACTATATATAGTGTTACGGATGTTACGGGAATTGTTATGTAATGTGGTAAACCCAATGCCATAAACCATCTCCAAAAAACACAAGTTTTATGGGTGGTGTAAACCATCCTTGTGGGTGGCAAATGATGGATAAGAATGGGAAATAGAATAAAGGATGGTATCACCGTCTGGTGTGTATGTTTACGACGGTTTGATTGGAATGATAATTATCATTCATAATTGTCATTCTCAACCAATTATCAACCCCTTTATCATACATAATTATGCACAATAGTTTACCGGCGATCATACATAAGAGCAATTGTCACTGGGGCGCATCAACCGTTAGTTGGCATTTGGGTGACCCAGGGGCTTCAATGGGATGTTAACCATGATGCAACCAACCAAAATATGGGGATTACACAAAATGCAAGCTGGGATTGGATGTAGGGGTGATGCTTGTCAATTATCGCCCGGTTGTGAAAATGGGCGTTGCCTATTTGCCTGGAGTTACCTTCGCGCATTTGAATTGCCTATTGATCATGTTGAAGGGCACATTTAAAGGAAGCCAACGTTTTTTTACCCCAAATTCCTCGGGGTTCGTTCGCATGTTGAACAGAAATTCTGCGAAGCAAGTAGTAATCCAGGAGTTTCCATGATTTTAATTATGTTACCCTCTGGTAATTTAACGTAGCTATTGAAAATGGCCATTAATAGTGGATTTTCCCATTAATAGCATGGTGATTTTCCATAGCTATGTTAAATTACCAGAGGGTAATGAGTTTCAAATCTATGACTTCAGATTCCAGTCTTTAAGTGTGGAAGTTCAGGATCCCATTGGGAATCCCCAGACAAATATCATCACTGCATTGCCAAGAATCCAAGCCATAAGACCAAGCTACCAGTTGACCATTGGTTGAGTTTATGTGATTCAAGATGGTTTTGTTCCAAAACAATATGACTTGGTTTCATCTTTCGCAGTCTATTGTCACGCAGTCATGCGATATATGTTGTGCCTGCCACCATTTTGACTGTGACTTTAAGTGACTGCTGAATTGGATTGTGTGACTTCATATGACTGTAACTAACCCATACACAAACAAATAGTATACATATACACACATATGGAGGTTTCCATAAATGAGGCAATGGGGGTACCCCTAAATCATCCATTTTAAATCCTTTTTTTCCATTATAAACCAACCATTTGGGGAATCTCCCATTTATGGAACCCCCCCATGTTGATATTGACTGGGGTATTTTCTATAGGTTCCATCCCACGTGTGTAAGGATCAAAGCCATGTGTTTCCAATTTCGATGTATAGCAACCCTACATAAACAAATAGAAACTTAGGTAACATCTACTAAGAAAACATAAAACATGACAATTTATATAGTTGGTTTTTCGACTTCCAAAGATCTGCAAAATGCCAAGGCTTTTGCTGCGATATTTTCATAAAAGGGTCAAGGAATCCATTGATGTCTGGATGTCTGGATTTACAAGACATCTCAGAGCTGATTTCCCCATTTGTAAAGCAGATTTAAGATTCACATGGCTTCCAAAAAAATGTAAGGATGATAATTATAGCAAAGTTCAGATTCAAAGTCATCATATACCGAGAAGAAAACCATCAACTTGCCCAGGTTGCCACACCGCTTTGACTCGGATACCCAAGGTCACCTGGCAGGCGCTTGCTACAGCTGAACAAATTCACTCGGGGATGATGGGCATGTTTTCGTACAAATGTATAACAACAATGGTTCACACAAACAATCCCACACTGTATCAGTTAATAACAGTTAATACTAGAAATATATATACATATATACATATATACATATCTATATATATACATTGATATCATTGTTTGTGTTTACCAAACAGTTGATATCATAATTGCACAAACAATGATATCAGTATATATATACATATTATACAATATATCTGGTTGGTGGCTTCGAAACCCAGCTAGAAAGAAAAAGTCACGTGGGATCATCATCGTAGGTAGAACATATCACATATTTTTAAACCCAAATCAACACTAAACACATATCATTTTATATATATATATTGACATATATATATACATATGCATATATATATATATGTTTGGGTTTATCTATGTACATTGCTTATTTTTTGGGTTCAATGTAACAAAATCAGGGGAATGTAGTGGGGATATCATGGCATGCACTTGGGATGTACTTTGGACTTAAAACCAACAAGATCTGGACTATTCTCACGTGGGGGATACCCAAACATTATTGGAAAAGCCCATATCTCAGGCCAAAAGTGGGATATCATGATCCAGAACTTAGACTATTTCTTCAAAGCATTCTTTCCACGATACTCTAACAAAAGGTCGCACAAACTCCAGGTTTTCTTCCGCTATTCGAGGCTATAAGGAGATCTCCCTGGCGGCTGCAGCACATGCCAGCGCTGCAGGGCCACGCGCTTTCTCACCTGCCGGGGGTGCTGATGAATGATGGAAATTGCTATTGAACGCGAAGATGTTTATATTATCAAGGTTTTGTAATTGATCTGGGGTCTCTGGACATGGATTCTTGGTTTTAGATATAGTGGAATTAGATTGTATTGTAGGTACCTTATTATTTCCCCTATGAGGAAACCAATTGATTGATTTAACGGGTATCATCTTACCATTGGTTATTTAATATA